GGGGTGTTTTGTTTTTTAAAAAATGTTTACGGCACTCGCAACTGCATTAGGTCATATGAGCGCGTGGGACACATTAATCTTTTTCAGTAGGTAGGAAACTTTGAATTTTGCCCGCGTGGTGGCCGAAGCCTACTCTTATTGATTTGAGACCACCAAAGGATCTTTAACGGGCGTAACTTGCACACAGACCCTCCGAGATTTTTCGCCCTTGTCCAAGAAGGCTAGGTGTAGATCTTTACTACCAGAAGATCAGAAGTGTGGCTGAAAGACAGCAGTAAAAAAGGGCAAAGGAGTAGAAGTAGAAAGGCTGCAGAAAGAGTAAGGAGCCCAGAGGAGGGGGCAAATGAGGTGAGGGGGTGGGGGCAGAAAAAGTAGACGAAAGCAGAACATTGGTAGAGAACAGGAAAGGAGGAGAAAGGAGACAATTTAAGAGAAGAACATTTTTTGGTCGCTACCCGGATTCGAACCCGGGACCTTTGAATGAGAGGCCAACACCTTAACCTCTAGGCCACGAGAGCCCCCCCGGAAGGGGGAGGGGGGTAGGAAAGAGGGACAGCACATAGAGATGAGGGAGGGGAGGAGAGAAAGACAGCAGCAATGATAGGTTGGGGGATGGGGTGGAGAGAGGGACAGTACTAGCAACAGAAATTGAGTCATAGGGGGTGGGGGGACAGCACAAAGAGATGAAGTGAGCAGGGGTGGGGGGGGGGAGGGTAAGGATGAGGACATGTTTGCACCTTGACAATTTTTTGGAAAGTACGAATGAATGTGCAGCACTAGACATTGTTATATCCCTTTTATGATATACATATCCGAATCAACAGATTAAATTTTTTTTACAAATCTCTTGTTCAATAGACAGGCAAGAAAAACATGAATACAACTCTACCCTTGACCCTTTTTCCATCTAAAATGCTCACCTGTCAAGATTTTGTAAGGGTGGCTGGTGAGGAAGTAAGTCCTTGCACACACAAGCGGACTATGTGGGGAAACAGCTTGACACATCTACAAGAAGAAATATTTTCATACTTTAATCATTTTTAACATAATGTTCGTCCATTAACCCATCCCCTCTCCAACTTCCACTGTTTCTATATTCCTTTCACTGCTCTCTAACACAGTTTTTAAAATTTTTGTTGTTGTTGGGTTTTTTTGGTGGTGCCTCCCTTGTTAGACACAACCTTACCCCCTCAACCCCACCCCACCTCCCAGTTTTCCATTTCTTATCACTCAACATACTAGCTGGGCCAAAAAAGAAGCCACAACAGCTTGCGATAGTGATCATGGATATGGAGAGTTTGTCCCGTTATCAGTTCAGTGCATTCTCTGTGTAGTGAGGCATAGAGGTTTGTACTGGAAGAGAACAGCAGCAGTCTAACAGTGACAAGAAATAGAACCCCGACTTTATCTGACCAGCAGTGTTTGCAATGGTTGTAAAGCCCATAGAGCATACAGTAGAGTATGGATATATGCTATGTTAATGCACTTATCATAAGTATCAGTATTGAATCCTTTTCTCATAATGGCTATAAAGGAGCAAGTTTATTGAAACAAATTTTAGCGATTTCTAAATGAATTGCATCTGTTAGACATAGCACAAGCTGAAATAGACAATTTTACTACTTTAAACACCACAAACTATCGCATTCTGATAAGCAAGTTGGGAATCAGAGAATGTGGTCTTAATAAAATAATCATTGTGGGATTTTTTAACACCACAAATCTTGTGCTTTTCTGAGCATACGTCAATTCTTGCCAAAAGAGTTTTATTCTTATTGGAAACTCGCTCCCAAAATCATTCTTAGAGAGGCGTAATGGCACAAGACTTAACTTTACCATCAAAACTGGGAACATGCCATTGTGAATAAAAGACGTGGTAAGCAAAGTCTGTTTTCGAATTATCATCATTGTCTTTCTCACCCTGGACCAGGATATACGCCACGAACAAACACTTTCCACCTTTCCTTATCCTGGGATAGCCGCTAGATGTCATTCCATGTCTTCCCACTTTTCTGTACATCTATTTCTGCGACTCTTCTGTTTTCAAATATGTCATAATTATTCTAGAAACACTTGTCACTACACAAAAAAGAAGGGTCAGCAAAGTGCTCTCAGACACAACTGGTGTCTGGGGTGTAATGGTGAGACCCTTTCTCATTGCACACAGAAGATGTCAGTTGGACTCCCAAGAAGGGAAGTTTAATTATTGGGTATCTCTGTCTGTCTGCTGGGATGTAGTATCCTACTCAGCCTGGGTTGGGTGGCAAAGTCAAAGCAACTAGCATCCTATATGATCTAAATTGTGTTGATAGGGTTTGTAAAACATTTGCAATAAAAAAAAGAAATTTCCACAAAACAGTCAGACCCTGTGGCCACAATACACAGAGGAACTCACCACTGTGTGTGTGGAGAGTGCATCAAGCTTCACGTCTGTGGGATCTCCACAGTCTTCACCAGCCTGAACTCTCCTCAGTTGCTTTTTATCAGCCTCGCTATCGACTAGAACAAAGGGCTTCCTACCCTCCCTGAAAACAGAAAGCAAAATTGTTTTGATCTACTCACTGTAGCAAGAATCGAGATTGTATCATATCTCCTGCGCAGACAGAATCACATATCAGCATTTCAGTTAAAAGCTGTACAGTTGCTGAAAAATCTATGCACTTCCTATCTCGTACATGAAGCTGAGCAATTTCTTTCCATGGCCAGGCATTTGAGAAAAATGTGAAGCACTAGGTTCACTATACTGATGACACTGAGCATGAGTGTCAGGTTAAGCTCAGTTAGACTCGGTGGAAGTAAGACTTATCAGAGCAAAACTTAAAGAAGAAACTTTGATAAGATGATTTTGCTCAAACTGATGTCTGGCCAAACAATTTTTAATATGGGGTCACCTAAAAATGTTTGGAAACACTGATGGACAGTTTCAATCTGATGTTTAACTCATAATGAGCACACGGGCAATATCTGATCTGCTCTTTTTTTAAACAAAGGGGGAAGATTTATACTGTTAAACTTTAACCATTCCAAAATCAGATGTAATTTTTAGACAAGCAGAAGTTGAAATTAAACATTTTATTTCTTAAAAAACTCAAAATACTACATCCTGCAGAATAAATCAGGATGTGGTCTCAAAGATATAAGTATTGTGGGATTCTATAAAACCTATATCTTGTGCCTCCATGAGTATACTTCATACTTGCAACACAAGTTACTTTTTTGATAGAAACCCACTTCAAATTTATTTTCAGAAACAGAGATAAAAAGGCACAACAACTCACTGACATGACAAAATTTTGCGACCAAGATTAGAAACATTAAGCAATTTTGAGCTAAAATCATATTTTGAGCTTAAAAGAGATGAAGCTTTAGGGACCCACTACATCAGCTGATCTAGAACTCAAAGAGCAAAAGGACAGTACTCCTCTTCCAATAAGAAGACAGCATGAACATAAAGATGCAATCTTGTTTAAGACATACCTGCCCTTCTGCCCCACAAGTCCATGGTTGAAGTAACTTTTCAGGGGCTGTACGGAAGAAACACATACAGTATTATTATATTCAAATATGTCAACCACACAGCTAAGCAGCAATCTGTTATTCCTAAAAATATATATATATGACTCCACAATTATGTGCAGTAGAATGTGGTCAAGGTAATAAGCATTCACTCGGCTTTCAAGTACATATTTTTGAATTCTAAATAACTGAACAGTTTTCCTTGTCTACCACTCTTTTAAAAGACAGATACAAAAGACATAATTTCTTATCAAGGAGGTAACTTGGTACTGAGGTTGTACTATAGCTTTATAAAGATTACTCTTTCGGTATGTGTTACAATTGTAGATACATCAGTGAGACCGCAACTCGATATACTACATTGACAAAGTTCTAAAAAATACTGCACAAGGGGAAAATACATATTTGAATCCCACACAGCCCATTTCCCTTTCATTTTTTTTTTTCTATATCACAACAACACTGTCTAAGACGTCCACCTGTCTAAAACGATCACTTTCCTCTTCAACAACGGGTGGACGTCTAGGACAATTCTGACTGTATATCATTAATAGAATGCACTGCACAGAACAAAGTAGGCCTACAGGGTGATTTAAAAAAGAAAGAACCGATTTCATTACACAATAGCTTAATAGTGAAAGGGAATACAAAATTCAAGCTAAGTCACATGTATTGTCCTGACAATCAACTTTTATTTCCAGTCTTTCAAGTGTTCAATGTGGCCACAACCAGTACCACGGGCAAGGTTGATTCATCCCAGATGCCTTTCAGAATATCACGGTCCACTGAGTTGATCGCCGTTATTGTTCAATGTTAAAGGTCATCGATATTAGAGGGTAGCAGTGGAACATAAATGGAATCTTCTACATATCCTCACAAGATTTAAAAAATCGCACATGGTGATGTTTGGGGATTTGGCATGCCAAGCAAAAAGAGCAAGGTCTTGGGCCCCTTTCCAACCAATTCATCGCTGGGGCACTTTTACATTTAAAAAAGCTCATACCATCAGATGCCAATGGGAATGTGTTCCATCTTGTTGTAAAATGAAAATCATGAAAATCTGCTGGCAGTGATGCGAAGAGCCAGTTTTGGAGCATAACGAGATAGGTTGGTCCTATGAAAGCTATTCAGAAGTTAGGTACTCCTCATTCAAATGGTAACTGACTCATTCCATAACGATGTTTGAAAACTGATGCAATGTGACATAAAATCAGTTCATTCTTTTCAAATCACCCTGTACTGTCCCATCATTTTAAAGATTAAATATTTCATACATTATCAAGATAGGAAAGATTTGTCTGCGCCTAACTAGGAAATTTCAAATTCCCTCACCTCTGCTATTTTCTTGGCTGGAAGCAGAGGTGACACAGGCTCAGTCCTATAATATAAGATTAAAAACAATTATTTTCATACAAGCGGGTTTCAGTAAAGTAAAAAGAAACTCACTAGCAGAGCATGTGAACTTGAATTAAACAAAAAGTAAAACTATAGAATATTTAAGCTCTTGAAATAAAAGTAAAAGCAGGGAGGAAAATAGAAAAAGAATTTAAAATCGAAATAAACAATGTGTTTTTTTATTTTTTTATTTTGGGCATTCGATACCCTGTAATCTCTAGCAGTTGATTGAAGGTTCATCATTTTTATTACGCTCGTTTCGACAACCACGACTTCTCCGACCTGCTGATAACTGTGAAAGAGACGATTCAAAATGACCGCACAGACGACAACAACAACAACACTGACGAAGACTAAGACAAGAGCAAGGCAATTTTTGTGGTTAATGCTAATGAGGTCAAGATCATGTTTATTAATGGTCTGAAAGCTCACAAAGCAAGTGGACCCGATGGAGTAAAAAGTAAAATTATTAAAATGTGTTCTACTCAGTTATCTCCCATTTATACCAATATTTTCAATGTCTTTGAAAGAACGAATAATACCACTCTCGTGGAAATGCACTGAAATAATTCCTGTCCAAAAGAAACAATACAAAATTTGAATGACCTAAGAACTGTGGTTTTAACATCAGTTCTTATGAAATATTTAGAAAAACTGGTTCTGAAAGAACGGAGGAAATCAACAGAAGACATACAGGATAACATGCAATTTTCCTATCATGCCAAGAAGGGCGTAGAGGATGCCATTCTCATGTTCTTAGATAACATCTACAAACCCATAGACACACCAAGAAATTACTGCAGGATACTTTTTGCTGATTTTTCATCTGCATTCAAAACAATCCAACCGCACATAATGGTTTCAAAATGAATTAATATGAACATAAAAAAGAACATTATAGCTTGGATTCTTGAGTTCTTAACCAATCGACCTCAGTATGTAAAATTAAATGGTGCAAAATCCGACCTAATATTAACGAACACCGGTGCGCCCCAAGGTTGTGTAATCTCCCCTGCCATGTTTACGCTTTACACCAACGACTGTACTTTTGATAACAAAAACATCAAACTAATATAATGTGTGGATGATTCCACTCTATAAGGCCTTATAATAACAAATGAGAAGGAATACAGGGACGCTGTTAATGTATTTACAAATTGGAGTGATAACCACTTCCTTTTATTAAACGTAAAAAAGACAAAGGAATTAATAATAGACTTTAGAGTATAAAAAACAACAATTGCAACCACTATTTATTAAAGATGAGGAGGTGGAGGTGGTAAGTTCTTACAAATATCTTGGTGTTACAATCGACAACAAACTTGACTGGCATCCCCACGCTGCTTTTGTGCATAAAAAAGTAAATCAAAGAAAGGAAATTAAGGAGTTTGTGTATTGATAATAAGATTATGTCCCTTTTATACCATTCTACGATTGAAAGTGTGGTATTATTTTGTATTTGCTGCTGGGTGAGAATTGTAAGGTGAAAGATAAAGACAAATTTGACAGAACCATTAACTCTTTAACCATGTCTGGACGGTGGCAGATTCCAGAAGTCGAGGTCCGTAACCATGACTGAACGGTACCACTGTCCAATGCGAAGTTATTATTGTATTATGGTATGGGCTGAATTTTTTTAAAGTACGAGCTAACAAGCCTTTAGTTTGACCCAGAAGCCAAAGATAAATGAATTCTACGTCTGGGTAATACTTTATTGATCAGTTTGACACAAAACAAGCGGTTTTAAAAACGTAATATGTCGGGTCGCATTTCCACAAACACGAGAGAATTACGCGGAAAAGTGATTTTAAATTGCATGGTTAAAGAGTAAGAAAGCCAGCAAGATCTCTGGATAGGATTTTACTAGAATTGATGAAATGTATAACACCACACATATAAAAAAGATAAAAAGCATTATAAACGACCCGTCACACCCCCTTTCCACGCAAATCGTAAGATCACACAGAGGCAGATATGTACCTCCAAAAACAAAAAAAGAAAGATATAAAAGAAGTTTTTTACCATCTAGCATAAGGCTTTTGTCAGAATGAGCATAGGTGAGTGTTGCTGTTTAGAGTATGTATTTATATGTATCTATATATAACTCCAAATGTCTTGTAATTAATTCCTCCATGTGATTGAATGATGCATCTGATGTGAATGTACATTTTATCAGGTTTACTTCCCTTTTCATATCGAATTTTAATGAGAGTAATATATAATTTAAATTTTTATGTTTACCTGCATGAGTTTTTATGGTCCTGTTCAGCCAAGAAAAATTTCCCTCTGGGATATTAAAATATTATCTTATCTTATCTTATCTTATATACAGAGCAACCCATTCTTACATTATAAAATTTTTTTAACACCAACAGCAGAGAACTCCTTGCATTTCAAACCAGAAAGTTATGGTTGGTAGAGTGGATGTAATATACTAATAAATAGACCTGTTGCACTGAATAACACACAAAAATCTATGCTCTTTTTTTTTATGGTAAGTGTTTTACAACGCTCGCAACTGCATAAAGTCATATGAGCGCACGGGACACATTTAACATTTTCATTTGGTAGGAAATTTTGAATTTTGCCCGGATGGCGGCCGAAGCCTACTCTTATTGATTTTAGACCACCAAGGGATATTTAACGTGCGCAACTTGCACATGTGACCTCCGAGATTTTTCGCCCCTGTCCGAAAAAGCTAGGTGTAGATCTTTCCTATCAGAAGTTCAGGGGTGTGGCTGAAAGACAGCAGTAAGAAGCCAAGGAGTAGCAGTAGAAAGGCTGCAGAAAGAACCAGGATCCCAGCAAAGGGGGCAAAGGAGGTCAGATGGTGGGGACAGAAAGAGGGGAGACGAAAGCAGACGACAGAGCATTGCAAAAGAGCAGGACAGGAGGTGAAAGGAGGCAGTTTTAGAGAATAAAAATTTTTCGATCGCTACCCGGATACGAACCAGTGACCTTTGAATGAGAGGCGAACACCTTAATCTCTAGGCCACGAGAGCCTCCAATCTATGCTCTGATACACACATTAGATACTTACACTTACATATATACATGGACCTCTGTCCTTGTCTTCTTTCATCTTCTTACTGGGCCACATGCTCCACTTTTAGAATGACCTGTTTATGCCTGGTAGGGCTTTTAACTCGGACAAAATAGTCAACCACGTTTTACCCCCCCCAAAAATGACCAAACTCAACAAACAACAGACAAATCTGGTAGCTTGAAACTTACAGGGCTATCTGCACACACTTCATCATGTTCTCCCACTGTCTTGACATCAATGGGAAGTGCTGAAAGGCAGGAAACAGAGTAAAACAAAGCATGCTAAGCCATAAAGAAAGATTTAATTTATTAGTACAATTGCAAGTAAAAGCTGCTGATTCAGGGTAAAAATGCAAAATCGTGGCAAAACAAAGATATGACACTGCAATCTCAAATAATAACAAAATACACACCACTCAAGCGCATTCCCAATAAAAATTTAAGTCTGATTAAAAAAGGTACAGACATGAAAATGGGATAAAAAACATGATGATCGGGTTAAATTATTTCTGAATACTTCCTTTATATTCCTTTGATCTTCAATTTTTTTTCAAACTGCAGGTACTGAAAACTGAGTGAGAATAACTTTACTGAGTAGAAAGTGATTGAGGCAGACAACTCACCTCAGTCAAAAGTATCTCCATAGTCACAGGGTCTTGGTAGTTGTAGATTCTGTAAAGCTCTTGGCTTACATCACAAACCTGGGACACAGCATCAAGCAATTCTTTCAATACTATGACTCTTTTGTTAAATGTACAGTCTTAGACAAAAGCCCAAAACTTGCCCTCAAATTTGACACTTTGCTTAACTATAAAATGTGATGGAAATCAACAAGAATAAAGATTCACCTAAAAAAAAGCCTCATTTATCCATTCACCTCTTTCCTGTTGAAACAGAAGGTACACATATGGAGTCAAGGCACTCTTGGATTAGAGTGACTCTGGTTTGGCAAAGCTACAAATATAATTATAACAGACTCTGACAGTTTCCCCAGCAACTGAAGCTGTTAATTCTAACTACCTTCATTATCGCAATACACAGGTTTTAAATAAATGCCCCAAAAAACTGCAATGTGAAGTCTTTCCAAACAACCTAAAACTTTCTAAAAAGCAAAATAAAAGAGTGACAGAAATAAAATATTCTCTGCAAACCTATATATAATGCTTGAAACAAAAAAGAATAGTATAAATGAAAAACTGTCAAGAGTGATTACAGAATACTGCTTAAACGGTTGATTTTTGCATATTTTGTTGTTGTTTTATCAGCAGTTTTGAGGGGCTTTCCAGCCAATGTAACAGTGAATTATCAGGGACACAAACAAAACGTCAGCAAGCTTTTGAAATGTTTTTAGTTCTGAGAGCAAAATTTTTCAGGAAATAGAAAAAAAAAAATTTTTCATTTTAAAATTGTACCCACGCTATGAAACCAGCATCAAAAGAGAAGTAACGACTTTATCTATTGGTTGACATAAATTATCTCATAAAGATATGGTTTAATAAAATGAGACCTAAGGCTAAGCACATTGTCCAATCCTTTTCAATGCTGATGAAATATATTGAGATACCGGACAGTTCAGTTTTGTATGTTAACAACTTGGTTCGGTTGAGACATTTTTGTGTGTTTTTAATCAGTCAAATCAAAGGCTGTCTCTTCCGGCATATTTAAAGCTGCCACTTGGAGGGGTTTTGTACCCCAACCCATTAAGAAATTCTGGCAGATGAGGCTGAGCTGCATAACATTGTAACAAATAAACCAACATCTTTTCCTTTTATCTATATTTTCAAACATCACTGATTTCATTTCCGTAATACAATAATGATAATCTGTCCCAGAAGTGACTCACCTCATGTTTGAGAGTGAAAAACCCTCCACTGAAAAGTAATAAAACAAAAAGAAAAAAAGATTTAGAGGGTATATAATAAAAACACTCAGGCTCAGTACATATAGCAAAGGGGTAGACACACAACAGAATGGTCTAAAGGTCTCACAGTCTACAATTTAATAAAAAAAAATCTTTAGTTCATATATTCTTTAAGCACTGCTATTCAAAAAGGGCAGATGATTGTAAGAAAATGATGAACATTTTGAGATAGCAGATGCTGACTTCAGTCCTGACAGGATTTCCCTGAGAATCTGAATGACAAAAGCTACATTTTGCATATTATACAATGTTCAGAAATTCTGTAAAATTGTTGTAAGCTAGATTGAAGAGTTACTCTTTCCAGAAATAGAAAGCTATTTCCATTTGAAACAATATTTAGATGTTTTTAACATTCTCTTTAGTAGATGAAGGTCATTGATGCAGAAAATAATTTTTTTTCAAATTAATCAAAACATGTTCCACTCTAATCATGTCTCGTGATTAATACTGCAGTCAGAATCATCTTGCCACCTCTAGAAATAGAAAGCCAAATCCAACAGATAACAAATTCATGCCATTTTAGTTGTAAAAGAAAAGTGATAAGTATATGAAAAGACGGGGGTTTTGCTGGTACATGTAGAAAAATCTTAAATGGAGCATGTACATGGTTCTCTGACCATTAGGCATAAGTACATTAATACACTTTTCTGAAAAAAACACTCAAATTGCAACCCTCTCAGCAATTTGCACTTCATACGGAAATAAACATCCTAAGAAAAAGGTTTCCAAAGTAAATACATTGCCCTAAAAAGACCCGTCCAAACCATAGGCACTACAACATTAAATGAATCATTGGAGCAGTCAGAGATAAGGGATGGAAGCATAATATTATGAGCTCCTAATATACCTCAATACTGTCAGTTGGAAAAAAACAGGACGGCCAAGGGAGTTACAGTGAAATCATCTGAGTCTTCAGGCTGCAGGGTTTCTAGATTTCAATCTGTTCTTTTTAATTTGCAAGACAAGCTCTGGACTACTCCAGGGAGCAGTGGTAAGACAGCAGTTTTAACTACAAAATGAAAGGAAAGATGAAAGAGAAGGAGGGATAGCATTTACTCCTTTTCATCTGCTGACCCAACTTAATATTTCAATCAATTAACATTGAACTACATCATTATATTTCTCATGGAAAGTTTCAATTAAAACATACCCTCCGAAATCCTCTAATGCAAAGGCTTGAATGATAGGCCACTTTTCCACAGCCATAGGATTGAAGGGAGCACTTGATTTTGATAGCACTCCAGCTGTTGGGGGAATACAATTAAAAATGTGAAAGTATACCATTACCATTAGATGTGTACACATTAGAAAGTATTGCTAATAAAGTGCGACAGAGGGTAACATATATTTTACTTCAGTTCTGAATATGTGGTAAGATAAGAAATTATAACACAGTATTGTGTTTTTAAGGTGAAGCAAAAAAATTAGTTTTGATCTTTAATATTCAGAGTCAACAATACTGCTGAGACAAAACAGAGAAATTTCACTACTCACATTCAACAAAAGTTCTCATTGTCAATAACATAAGTCAGAGGGAAATCCTAAAGAACTACCTGTACTTCCATAACATTTAGATGGGAAAACAGAAAACATTAATTTGTCAGACAAGTGATTATTCAGAAACTAGAACTTCCTCCGGTCACTTTTGTTCCACAAATTTTAATTCAGTGATGTCCCTTGAAACGGAAATTGTTTTTGAAAATGGCATGCAATAACATTCATAAATATCGCCAAGAGAACACTTTTGAAATACATTCAAACCTGCCATAACGGTCACAAGAACAATAGTCACCTGTACAAATGGACACTTCCCAGACTCCCCTAGCGTTTTGTCGATATAATTCTACTGTGTAAACCAGTCACATGTCCCACACAACCATCAACATTTATCAACCAACAACCAAAATTACCTGTCTTGGATGGGCACGCAAATCTCTCATTGCTCAACGCAACGCGTTGTTATAAATTATGTATTGGCCCCTGACGTTGTGGATGAGCCCTCATTCACCGGTCGCTATTGTTAGTCCCTCTTATGAATGTTGCTTGTGTCGCCCTCAATGTTTACCCAAATTGACCAATCAGTAACAATACAATTTCCGCTGCTGGTGAGGGAAGTATGTGATCTGTCATAACCTATAAGCCTCGCCAACAATCATACACAATTGTAAGTGAGATGAACGTTCATTGTTAACCCAATCTGTAAACTCAGTCCTTAAGAATGAACGTCAACCCAAACCCGCTGCAGAAGTGTCACTCATTCACTGAGTGATGGCAACCAATTTGTTTGTTTTACTATGGCACTCAAAAGTCTTCTTCGTCAGAACATTCTGTTCTGTTTTAACCTTGCATGAAACCATAATGTGTAAAAAATAAAGCAAACAACAAAAACTCCCACAAAAACTCTCCTTTCAAAAGACAAAAAAACCCCAAAACATTTTAATTAGCCTATGGCAGTCCTAAACCTGCAACCACTTCCAGTTGGGACCTCAGGAGTAAATGGTTTGTTTTCTTCATTTTGATCAGTCCTGCATAAGATGGCCACCTGTCTTAAATATCCACTTTTCTCCTCGACAAGGCGTGTCTGTCTTACGCAGCTTCAACTGTATTATGCACCAAAGTGGAGAACTTTGGAGCGGTAATGAAGATAATAAGCAGGGTGCATTCAGGGCCAAAGAATAAACCTGTGGTATGAAGCTTTGAAGAGCAATGAAGATCAAATTTCATGAAATGGATGTGATGTAATGCATAAAATATACCTCTTCCACTGTACGGGATTCCTATAACCTTGCAGTTAGAAACCATAGCAATCAGGGACTTGATCTTGAACTCTTCTGAAGCATCATCATCTTCACCTTCATACTGTCAAGGAATAATATATATTGGTTTGAAAACCACAGATGTAAAACACAGTTAATCAGTTGATTTAAATGGTAACAAGCAGGCAGAAGAAAAGTTTTAGTAGAACTTCGGTCGTGCAAACATAAGGAAAACTATTCCCAAAAGCAGAAATCATATGTGTCACGACGCGGTGGAATCAGGCACTCGTCAGATTTAGGGTAAATGGAGTTATAGGTATAATCTTAAAGGTTGTTCATTTGCCATGCAATTGATGAAAAAAATATCCATTTATGTTGAATAGAAGTCAAGGGATTTGCAATTGAAGGAGGTGGGGTCGCCAGTTTTCAGAAGTAAAAAAAAGCGAGAAAAGGTCTGGTGACTTCCATAGCTCAAGAGTCCTTGAAAACTGCAAATTTATATTTTTTTCCATAAAATCCACATATAAGAATAATTTTGAATGGACATACAAGGTGCTGAGCCAAAAAACAAAATTTCTAAAAAAAATGTCCAAACTGGCCGAAAAATGCTGATTTCTTCAATTTCATTATTTAGACAAGCGCCTGATTTCATCGTGATGCCTCACATATACTACTAAAGCTAACTCAAAATTCTTTTAATCTAAGGACCCAGAAACTGAAGAATATTTTACTTCAATAGAAAGTGTAAATTAGACTAGATCTATATGTGGCCATGTAGTTTACAGTAATAAGAATTGTGTGGCCTCATGTTGAAACAAGTACTCGTCAAAACAATGAAATCGAAAAAAACCCAGTCATTTTTGTCGCCAGTTGAACTATTTTCTTTGATTTCTTTTTTTAGCTCAACACTTTTAATGTCCATTTAAAAACTCATTTCTGTATGGATTGTACTGCAAAATGTTAATCAAAGGCACAAAATATGTAAAATTGCAGTTCCCAAGGACTCTCAAAGGGGAGGGGAGGGGAGAGAGAGGGGATGTCAAGGAGAAGAGAGACCAAAGCAGTTTCACACAGTTCCATTTCAACATCCCTATATACAGTCTCGTGTCAATGGTTTAGCAATTCAAGCTTCTCCAGAAAAGAAATTTCAAAAGGTAACATAAAAGGCTCATTTTGTGTTTTTTGCCATCCACCATTCATCCAATTCCAATTTATGCTTTGTGAATATCAATGGCAAATAAAAGTTGTTAACACTTTTGAAAATGAGTGCCATCCCGTTAAAGAGTAGCTACATGGTACCTGTGTCAGTTCTAGTATAATTTTGGTATCTGAAATAATTAATGTTGACACTGAATGAAGTTTGAAAAAGGGAGGTGCAAGGCTAGTAGAAAAATCTTCAACACAGAGCAGGACAAATAGCCCAGCAAGGAAATGGTTATTTAAGTCCTGAAATATGGCAGTGAACACCAAAAATATGTTACACTTACACTCGGAAACATCACCTCAAAGGCTTTTCCGGACCATACCCTTGCCTTAATGAAATAGAGTCCTTATCGTCAAAGTACAGGAGAAAATATGAGACACAACATCGAGCTATGTTTAATATTAACGTCTAGATATCATTATGGTTACTGAACCAACAATAAATAGCACACATGGCTGCCACAAATTGATATACATATATAAGATTCTGAGCGTGTTGGTTCTCATTCAAAAACTACAGAGATATGGCAGTAGAATGCTGTATCAAGAACATTTACCAGTGGCTAGAATAGGTTACACCATATTTCATCAAGAGAAAGCTTTTAGGTAAAGGTCAGACTGAGAATGAAGAAGACACAATGTGATAAATTTGGTCTGCATTGAACAAACTACCTCATTGTCAGCCAAACAATGGAACTGAACAGAAGGCCAGTGACTGACATATGGGAGAAGATAGTGGTAGTTGACTGGGTTGCAGTAGATCTCAGCATGCTCCCTGCACACTAGTATCATCAAATCTGAAAGTGGATTATTAAAAAGACATGTTTAAGAAATGGGAAACTATCATTAATTTAGCAACAATTAAAAAGAAACAGGGATTTGAAATACATGATGAAAAAATATTTCAAAGCTAAATGAAAAGAGCAAATTAACAATCATAAATCAAACTGCTTTTGGGACAGTGTCCATAAACCAAATAGCATTTTTATGAAAGTATAAGCAGTTGAAGGCAAAATAAGGTTAAGAAACAATGTGTGGCCTCTAGGTCTCTTTACATTAAGTTATATTTCAATAGCAATTCATCTTGAATAACAATCTTCAGGTCAAAATTTCAGGAATCCAAATTAGTAAAAAAAAAATTGATTCCATAGCAGTAATTCCCAACATACGCATTAGGTACCATCTTGACTTGCATCAGCTCAAGTAGGTACAATCACAAGTAAATATGAAGCACTGTTGAACTCACAATAAATAGTTTAAGCCTTCCTCCCTATAAACCTTGTAGAAACATTTCATGAATGAATTGACAAGTTCTCCGATCTGCTATATAAATGAAGTAAAAATTATACAATTAACATTTCATTCAAATAAAAAATCAATTTTCAAGTTTTTTAACTTTTCAGCATGATGTTTTAATCTCAAAAAGTTGTCCGCCCATAATAAGCATAACATTTTTGTAGACTGTCTTTATTTCTTTCAATTCTCTATTGCTTGGTGATGGTATATGGTTGACTTACCATCAATAACTTCTTCAGCAAAACCAGATCTGGAAAACAAGAAAGTCAAAAGTCAGTCTCTCTGCATAAAGGGATATAGGTTTTGAGTTGAGAGGAAATACAAAATAAGAATGCAAACAGTAATATACACAACAAACAATCAAGCATCTGTCAATTAAAAACTTCTTGCTGACAGTAAAAAAAAACGGCAAAATGTAAAAGCTTAAAGATTTCAATAAAGTCCAATGATCTTTGATCAATCTCGGTTTGACTATTGGAGCAGCAATAACCTTGCAGTTAAAGAACATGGGTTCAATTTTAGCTGTGAAAATTAGAACACTAGGGAAACAGCTAAATGTTCCCTAAGACACTCATTTCTCCTCTGTCCATTAATAAATGTTCAACAAAATGAAAAGTTGAAACTTACTACAGCTGGAGATGGTTTAGAATGCTGCAATGCTTAAAGTGTCATGAGACACTGAGATAATAAGGTTTGATTTAGCAGTTTGAGAGAGTAATTATTCTGTGCTAGTCCAGTCCACTTGACAGTCTATCTTGAGAATGTGGTCTATGGTCCCACCTGACTGACCACACTCTGCCTAACAATCTATTGTGATAATGCGTTCTACCATAAGGCCTGTGCTGGGTATCTATATGCTCTTACGACCATACCCTGACGGATTACTTTCAAGGGGACCAGCCCTCCCTGAATCCTCCCAACCCCCCCCACACACACACAATCACACAAACTACACCCACCAAAACAATTTTAATACAGCCAATGACAGTCCAAAACTTATAAAAAAGCAGAGGGAAAATGTTCAGTATTATGGATTGCAGCAGATTACTAGACCATCAAGTGGTACGCCTACAGTTGTCAGACTCATCAGGTGGCTGACTGTAAAGTAGAACAGAAACATTGTAGAAGACTGTAAAGTGGACAGGCAATATTATTCTCTCCTAGATTACCTATTCCTTAGACAAGAAACAAAGACTATTAAAAATCAAGCAGCTAACAATGAAGACCAACATGGGGAAAGAAATATTCTATTCTTTCATATTCATTCATTTGGACCGAAAAAGGCACAATGTGGTATGATGTGGGTTTAAAATTGAACATAACGTAAAATGGGAAAACCACTAAACTCTCACTTTTCAAGTTCATCTTTCCGAACATCAAAAAATCCAAACAAAAGGTAATTGAGTAGCTCCAGACTTCCTTCATTGTATCGGCTATCAATACCTGAAATAAAGAGACATTGACAACATATTTATCACAGACTATCTTGTATGTGAGTCAAACATTTTATGTTGGTATACAGCAGGATGAGTATGTATAAAGTTGGTTAAAGGGCTTCAAATAGTGTAAGCAATAGATGAAGTAGGAAATTTTGTCTCTCACATATTATAGTCTATTTACAGCACACAATAAAGAATTATTGTCACAATTTTTTTATCTCCCAAACAAATGCAACTCGTTACTTGCTGCAAACTTTATTTATACTTGACATGACGACTGCATACTTTCTTTCAACTAGCATTGTCAATTACTAGTTACAAAATTAGTTGGGAGTGGAAAACTCATAAATTTATACATGGTCAATAGCTTGAACACACTAATAAAATGTGGAGATGGTTTTGTATTGTGAGAAAGAAAAAAGTTAACAAAAAAATCCAATAATTTTAGAAGGTTTTGAGTTGTGAGAAAGAAAAATGTTTAAAAAAAGGAGTAATCTTTCTAAATTTGTTTACCAGCAAGGCAGAGGATCCCATCCATGTTGTCCTTTTTTGCAATAACACTCTGAACATGGCGTAACCGACTTGAACTGTTGAAAGTAAGGGAGTGACTCTTGGTGTTTTCTTTTACAAATATGTCACACAAGTAACACAAGTATGTGTTTTATCAGGGTTAGTGACATTGGGTGGAGTCAAAGAAAACCAAAAAAAACGAGCAGACTCACAACACTGTACGAACACAAGACTTCGAATCTATTCAAAATTGAGGGCATCCCCTGACCACATTTATCCCCACAACAGAGATCTTATTCAAAACTCTACAAACTTGAAACATTTGTAAAAGATTTTATTTAAAAATCATTTCACCCCAAATCCTCATTGCTGTAGTGAGACATATAGATCACAAAAATGAGCTGGGAAAAATTCCACATGATCCTGTAGAAATATTTCATTTGATCCACAAAAATGTGTACTCAGCTACCTACTTTATAAAAGGTTAGTTTGAAGACTGCTGTTTAAAGGCAATAATGTAAATAGGTTGCTGAATGCTGTTCCTGTAAAGAATTGGTAAATGCTCCAAATAACCTTGGAAGGTGAAAGAACAGATAAAAGTTATTGTGGAAAGTCTAGTGGACAGCTGCATCATTTCATTACCAAAATTAAAATGGAATCCAGACTTTATATCTCTACACATTCTGTTCTTACCATGAACCTCAACCAGCCGCTCCACTGAATAGAGAGCACTAACAATGTAAGCAGTCTTCTACAATAATAATATTTCAAATACTAAAATTAAATCTCTAGAGGTAGTAATAGAAGCCGTTATAATTGGGATTCCTTGATGATCAGAATAACAGACATCTAGTAAAAACATGAGCTGATTCCACCATGCCATAAAATTTTCCAATTAGTATGTTAACTGTGGCAATTTCCTCCCTTGCATATTTTTTACATTATAAAGACACTGTGAAAGATGGCCATCTATCCAAGAGGCCACTTTTCTCCTCAACAATGGGTGGCTGTCTTAGACAGTTTCGAGGGTGTACAGAACAAATGAAAGGGGGGAAGTGGGAAATTGTCATTTGTACAGTTTGTCTTGGACCGAAGACTACTCTTATCTATTTTGGACCACTAAGGAATCTTTAACTGCACACGGGACCTCCGAGATATTCCGCACTTATAATCTGAGAAGGCCAGGTGGTAGATCTAACCTACCCTAAGATCAGGGATGTTAGATCTTATCTACCCTAAAATCAGGAGCGTGGCTGAAAGACAGCAGTAAGAAGGCACCAATAACTAGCAGAAAGAGTCAGGAGCCCAGAAGAGGGAGCAAAGGGGGGTAGGGGGGGGGGGGGGGCAGAAAGTGGAGATGAAAACAGATGAAAGAACATAATAAAGGTGAAATCATGCTCTTGTCAAAATAAAGAATTCAAAGAAACCAAAATTTTACCGCCCCTTGGCCAATTTTCATTGATTTGGGGAAAGGGGGGGGGAGGGGGGGGGGGGTTAACACCTCTAAAGTAAATTAAAAAACACATTTCTGTGTAGGTTTTACTAAAAAAATGTTGATCAAAGGCATACAAAAATGTAAATTTGAAGTTTAAAAAAGTTTTGGAAGTCACCAAACTTTGGCAGCCATTTGCTTATTAATTTTTTCTCAGACACAAGGTGACCCTCACCTAGTTAATCACAAATATCTCAACTTCGTTTCAAGATAGATGGGTATTTTTTTTCGCTAAGAGCAAAATAAACGAAGAAGTTTTAATATTATACCGATAACTATGCCCAAAAATTGACAAGTGCCCTATTCCACTGAGTCACGACACAAATTTAAAGACCTATGATTTAATTTCTAACTCAGTGACGTCATTTTCAGAACAACAATATCTAAGGACAATATGTGTCACGACGTGGTTGAATCAGGCGCTCGTCAATTGTTGGGCATGTAGAGTTACTGATATCATCTGAAAACTTATTCATTTGCCTTGCTTTCAAAGAAAAAAATATCCATCTAGCTTGAATAGAAGTCGAGATATTTGTGATTGAAGAAGGTGGGGTAGCCTAGTTTCAGTGGTTAAATTAAAGAGAAAATGGCTACCAAAGTTTGGTAACTTCAATAGCTTAAGAGTCCTTGAAAACTGAAAATTACATATTGTGATCCTTTAAACAAGGTTTTTCAGTAAAATTCACAAGGAAATGTGTTTTTCTATGAACATAAAAAGTGTTTAGCCAAAAAATAAAATTTCTATAAAAATTACCAAACTGGTGGAAAATTGCCTTTTTCTTCGATTTCATTACTTTGACGAGAGCCTGATTTCACCACAATGCGTCACATATGTTTTCTGTTTATGTATTTTTGTCAACTAACAAATTGCATGCTGCAATGTGTATATTACACTATGTATTTGTATGTACTCGCTCAGTTAGATCGTGTGTATGTGTATGTGTGATGAGAGAGATGTGTGTGTGTGTGTGTGTGTGTGTGTGTGTGTGTGTGTGTGTGTCTGTGTGTGTGTGTTGGGTGTGCGTGTATGTGTGTGAGTGTGTGTGCATGCACACACGCATGTGTGTGTTTTATGTGAATGTGTCTGTGCCTGTGTATGTTTGAGGACTGTGGATGGCATGTAGCCATAGTAAAATTCACAAGGAAATGTGTTTTTAGTTTTTCTATGAACATAAAAAGTGTGGCTACATGCATGTGTATGCATGTGTATGCATGTGTCGTGTGCTTGTATTGAGTGTATGAGTGTGTGTTTGTTTGTGTGCCTTATGTGGCGTTTGTGGAGTGTGGATAGAGTAGGCATATGGATGGCATGTGCACATACACAAGCATATATGTGTCACGGCTCAGTGGAATCAGGCGCTCGTCAATTTTTGGGCATGTGGAGTTTGTGATATCATTAATTTAGGAAGCTGATTTATTTGCCTTGATTTCAATGAAGTAGATTTCCATCTATCTCAAAAGAGGTTGAGCCAAAAATACATACTCGATAAAAATGTCTAAACTAGCAGAGAATGCTTGTTTCTCCATTTTCTGTATTTTGACAAGTGCCTGATTTCACCACGCTGCCTCACATATATATGTTGCGTGTGTTTTTGTATGTGTGTATGTATGCATGTGTGTGAATAAATGTGTGTGTATAAGCGTGTCATTTCATATATTATGTGAATGCATATTATTGTTCATTTATGAATTTGTACTCAGATTTTAATCGCCTGGGCTGAGCTGTGTGCATACGGGAGTATGTGAGCTATGAAAATGCTCTTAATATTATCACCATCCATTATTATAAAGTTTTGTAATGTAGAGAAAAGTGCATAGGCCTAAATTCTGACCCTCTAGTTTCTAGATTACACACATGACACAGTGATATAGACTAGACCAGATCAATATCTAGACTAGATCTAAATCCCTTCAATTAATTCAATAAATTAAATGATTATGAAGTCAGAAACTAGTATGGACTAGATTTAGATTGTTAGATGCAGTTTACACTACACTGACAAACAATAATAATAATAATAATAATAATGATAATAATACGAAGTGGCTAATACGGCTAACCTGCCAGTACTCCTCATATGGAAAATGACGGAGTAAATTATTGGTCAAAGATATAAATAGTGACCAATGGCTATGAAAGTTATCTTGACCTCGTAGAGAGTCTCTTGGCCAAGATATCGATCGATAAAGTGATGCGGTCCAGCTGAGCGACTATATGCTATGTGTTATCACTTGTTTCGCTGTGCTGAAGTACTAAATGTTGAGTTTATTGTGTTTTGCGCTTTGATAGTATTTATTTGATCGCTTATCATTTTTGAATGGCTCATTCTATCAGCCTTAAGAAAATATGCGGTTCTATATATGCCTTTTATCATCTGTTGAGCCCTAAACGGTCAATTTTCAGTAGCAGGTTATATATCTCAGGTATCTCAGCTATTCCCCCCCCAAACCCCCATGTTTACAACCGATCGGCCGCGGCGGCGGGCATTTTTGGTGACTTCCGGTGAAACGCTGAGCGCTTCTAGGGTTAAAAAGACTACAGCCTGGCTTAATCATGCCTTAATGACCTAACTAAATTTCAATTCAGTTGGCCAACAGTCAACAACTTAATTAAAGAATAAGTCTAGAATCTAGGGGAACTCTTTTGTGATTTCGGAAAGTTTCAGCGCCCAGACCAGGTAGTGTGGGTGTTCGTGTGTGAGAGACAGAGAGAGAGCTAGCAATATCAGTCATGACATGCCCCAGTTGGCATGAGGAAAAAATAGAAAGATAGAGTGGGAAATAGGTGGGGAGAAAGAAAGACAGAGACAAACAAAGAAAAAGAGAAGGCGAGCGATACACGGAGGCAAAGGAGAGAGAGGCAGAGGAGAGAGAGGCAGAGGGGAGAGAGAGAGAGAGACAGAGAGAGAGAGAGAGAGAGAGAGAGAGAGAGAGAGAGAGAGGGAGAAGAGAGAGGGTGACTGCTCAATCGAAAAAATGACATTGTTATTTTCTTCAAAGTGTGATTCCTCCAACTCCAAAACGGAGGAAAAACGATCATTCATCGAAAAGACATCCGCAATCTTCATTTAAATCTAGAATCTAGATCTACGCTAGCCTCGAAACTAGATAAACAATTTATGTCTTATTTATTTAGGCCATAGACCTAGAAGAACCTAGGTCTACCCTGAGCCAAGAGGGCGCAAAAACTTTCCGAAATCACACAAGAGTTCCCTTACCGGGTCTGTATACTTTGTGACTTTGTTCCCGGTTACCGGGTCTGTATACACTCCCTTTACGAAAGGCTGTAGTTATTCGCACAGGGTGTGAGAATACTATGGAATTGTATTCACACAGGGTGTGCGAATACTATTAAATTTTATTTGCACAGGGTGTGTGAATACTATGAAATTTTATTTGCACAGGGTGTGTGAATACTATGAAATTTTATTCGCACATGGTGTGTGAATACAGTCAAACCTGCCCTGATGGCCACCTCTATAAGACAGCCACCTGTAAAAACGGCCACTTTCCATTTACCCCTTGCGTTTTTTCTATATAATTTAACTGTGTAAAACGGGCACCTGTCCAACGCGGCCGCGGCCACCATATTTTAACACACAACCCCTACCTATCACACTAAGCAATAACACCTGTCTTAGACCGCCACCTTACTGACTCCATTACATTTTGTCATAAATTGTGCAATGGCCCCTGGCGTTGTGAGCAAGCCGTCATAATTCAATCACCTGTCGTTGTTGTTAGGTAGTCCCTCCAACCAATCATGTCGCATAGGCCCCTCCCACTGTTGACCAATAGCTACCAATTTTCAGCTTCTGGTGAGGTAAGCGTGTGATCCCTCATAACCCATAAGCCCCGCCTACAAATCGTGTAAGATGAGCGGTCACTGTTTACCAAGTCCGTAACAAAGGACGTCAACATGAACTTGTGACAGAAGCTCGTTCTCCGAGTGGTGGCGACCCATGTGTTTGTTTTAACATGGCACTCGGTCTTCCTCGTCTGATACATTTTGTTTTATTGTCACTTTTGGGCAAAATCAGCAACAAAATAAAAATTACAAACTAAATAAAAACCACCACCACCATCAACAACAACAACAAAAACAACAATGCGGCTACTTTCGATTAGGACCTCAGATGGGAATGGTTTGTTTTCTTCATCTTGATCAGTCCTGCCTAAGACGGCCACCTGTCTTATAATACGGCCACTTTTCTCCTTGACAATGGGTGGCCGTCTTACACAGGTTTGACTGTACTATGAAATTATATTCGCACAGGGAGTGTGAATACTTCAAAATATTATTGGCATAGGACGTTTCAAATGAAGGATGGCAATTAATTGGGCCTAGGGCCTAGCATTTCCTCTTTTTGTTTTCCCTCATCGTGTAGGGACAAAGATCATGTATTTATAACAAGATAGTTCCCTCCTCTCTTTGAGCCAATTAAAAAAGTGTCCTCAAAATATGGTGGTGCCCTCTTCGAAAAAGTGCGGACTTTGCGAACAGAGTTGTAAACCGTACTTGTGTGAAAAAACAATAAAAGTGAAATTAACAGACTGTGCTTATCCTATTCTTCTTCTGAAGCAACACGCGGACTTCTGCGAACACTTTTCGGGCTGAGTGAACAATCTTGTTATGTGCTATCTTTGGTAGGGATAGATCTGGATCAAATTCTAATAGTGCAACTGCAATACGAACCCCCCCCCTCCCCCCCCCCACTCAAATTGGAATTTAAGATGTGAATTGTGTCAATGATACTGGCTCAAATCTCTCTTTTTTTCTTTTTTGTTGATTTGTTTTCCTTGCGCCTTGAGAGAGAGAGAGAGAGAGAGAGAGAGAGAGAGAGAGAGAGAGAGAGAGAGAGAGAGAGAGAGAGAGACAGACAGACAGACAGACAGACAGAGAGACAGAGAGATGAGTGTATGCTTAAATCCTAAAACTGAAACAATTAAGATATTATACTAGACTCTATATCAGATCTAGATATAGATCTAGAACTAAATCTAGATATATAAAAGTGTACAGTTGTTCTAACATTTTTTAAAAGCCTTTGCCAAAAGGAGGGACACCCAGGTGTGACAAACGAGGTCCAAATTCAACGTAGGCTCGACCCTGGGAGAATAGAATTATTTCTTATTCGCACACCCGGTGTGAATTATATTAATTCTTATTCGCACACCTGGTGTGAATAAAATTAATTCTAAGCGCACACCCAGTGTGAATAATCGGAAGGACCGGAAGGACTTCCGTAACGAGTGACCACCCCAACAAATTGAACAAACGCAATAAAGAAGAGACCTAGATCTAGATCTATGTTAAGATCTAACCAAAACACATACCCTATCCCTAACCCTAGAAATCTATCCCTACCCCTACCCCTAGCCCTCTATTCTACTGTCTCATAGCTGGTCGCTCTTATGGAAGTCCTCCGATAATCACTGTGTTTACGAAAACTCGGTACCTCAAAACGAAGAATTACCTCACAAACTGAGTGAACTGTTCAATTTTGATGTGGCGTCTTGCAGACGAAGGGACTTTGAATTTTTTCGACGACATTTTAACAATTACTTAATGACCCCTCTTTTGACTTGTGATCAGATGTTGCGTTTCTCGATGTCCGTTACCAGTGCGCTGCCATTTTGGATCGAGGAACGCTAACGAACTAATTATTTCCTATACTGAAGAACGTATCAGAAGCAAAATACTTTCGTAAACTTCGTCACTCATAGGTTTTTCTTTCTTTATTCCACTTATTATAATCTTTTTTCGATCTCAAGGTACTGAATCTCCTCATTCATCTAATGGCGATGTTAAACAGCTATACAAATGCAACAATCATTTTGAGTGCCCTTAAGTTATCAAAGAGCTCCCACGAAGGGATACTATATTCCAACTTACTATAGATCTAAGTCTAGTCCTTAGCTTTACATATAGACGCGGGGGCTCTCGTGGCCTAGAGGTTAAGGTGTTGGCCTCTCATTCAAAGGTCCCGGGTTCGAATCCGGGTAGCGACCAAAAAAATTTCTTCTCTAAAATTGTCTCCTTTCACCTCCTTTCCTGCTCTCTAGCAATGTTCTATTGTCTGCTTTCATTTCCACTTTCTGCCCCCACCCCCTCACCTCCTTTGCCCCCTCTTCTGGGCTCCTGACTCTTTCTGCAGCCTTTCTACTGCTACTCCTTGGCTCCTCCTTACTGCTGTCTTTCTGCCACACCCCTGATCTTCTGGTGGGAAAGATCTACACCTAGCCTTCTCGGACAAGGGCGAAAAATCCCGGAGGGCCCGTGTGCAAGTTGCGCACGTTAAAGATTCCCTTGGTGGTCTAAAATCGATAAGAGTAGGCTTCGGCCGCCACCCGGGCAAAATTCAAAATTTCCTACCAACTGAAAATGTTATGTGTCTCCCGCGCGCTCATATGACCTATGCAGTTGCGAGCGCCGTAAAACACTTTACAAAAACAAACAAACAAACATATTAGACGCTTTTAGTCCACAATAACTAGGCCTACTCAGATTCTGAACTTGAAGTAGCTGTCAAGTTGGGTGGATTTCTTTAAAATAGAGGTGATAAGTTCCTTCTAATCAACTAAAATCACCAAGGCTACTTTAAAAAGTCGTCTGCACCTGGTGTGAAGAAAACAGGGAAAACTCGAGAGAATGCTTTGAATGTACAATTTGGAATGTTTTTTTTAAAAAGACCTATGCAATAGTAGGCCTATAGATAAATTAATTATGTGAGACGATCGCCGATTACATCAGGGTTTGTGAAGATCTACTCATCTATAAAAGAAGTTATCTGGTACACAAACAACAAGGCATGGGTTAGCAAGCAGTTACAGGGATTAAATGAGAAGAAGAAGGCATAAATTAACCTGAAATACTGAGACAAATTTTTAAAACAGCAAATAAGCTGAATATGTTAAAGAAAAAATAAGAGGGTGTAAGCATGTATACCCAAAAAAAAAGTTAGAACAATATTTTACTTCTATCAACACATAAATGACGACTTGGCAATTTTGAAAAAACTATACACATACTTGGAGACCATTAAGGCATCCAATCCTCGTTGGAGACACACGAAGACGGTACGGACAAACATTCCAACATATGACACCAACCCTAGTCAGTTGTTGTTAGTTGACTCTATTGCTTCTGTTTTCATTGACTATGCATCCGGTCTATAATAGGTTTTTATAGAGGCCTACTTGGATGCTGCTAGTTAGAATTTGGCTGCCACTTTAAGGGGGCGTCAGCATCGAACCAATAATTGGCGCGTGACCATTTAATTGTCCTCGGAGTAGTTGGTTTCGATGAGCTCTAGGGTCAATAACCTTCTGTGCCCTTTTGTGAAGGGCATCAAGTGGATGTTAATATTCCTTTTAATGTTAGTGCTTTCACGCCCTATCGAATAAATTTATATCATAGGGCCTATAAGAGGTGGGTTTTCACACGGGAATCGAACTCGGGTTTTCTGCATGCGATAGCGCACACGCGCACGCACATATGTACGCATGCATGCATGTTTGTGGTTGTCTCTCTTTCCCAACAAGACTGCCCTATAGGCCTACCTGTTTCTTTCCAGGCAATCCATACTTTCTTGTGAATTGTATTTCACAATGTGACAGAGATATATACGAGTAGACCTATGTGCATAGTGCATAGTTTTCGAAAAATGTTAGGGAACACCATTAATAAATATGTAGGCTATGCATTTTTCATGTGACATTTATGAATTTGTAGTATAACTTTTAAAATGATACCTGCTATATTGTTTGAGCAGTCGATTAAACAATGTGTATTACAATACTTTGTAAACATATTAAGCACTTGAGTTGTGAACAAGAGGTACGTGCTAAGACTTGTCGGCTCATTACATTTTATATTATGCCTGGTTTGTTTTTAAATGGTTAAAAAATAGAGAGAGAGAGAGAACTTTCATGTGGTAAACCATTGTATTGGATGAACACTACGCACATGCTATGGCTATTAAAGCCCTGGCAAAGAATTGGAAATTTTGTCACCAAACAGAATGCCCCCGTGAAAGTTGAATTCTCACAAAAGTGGAAGGACCATTGGTTGGCTCCAAGATGTTGTTTCATTCGGGGGAGTGGCTCGGCGACTTGCTGTTTTGAGTTTTTTTTGTTTTTTTAAAAATGCGGACGATGGCCGTCCACCCGAAAGAAAAGAGGGGCATACTTCTCCGTCCCGCGGATGCCTCGGGCAGTATCCGCCTCGCTAAACCAGTGGGCACAAGGCCGGAGGAGAAGCTGAGAACAGATACCACCTTTGATCGTAGCCAAAAGGCCGAGAAACGATTTGCCTTCTGTAGTCAACCGACTACAAGACCGATACCAACTAACCGGAAGTATTGACGAAAGCCGTCGGTCTGGGGTCCCAGGTCAACTACTGCGAGGGAGAACCGATTCATCCAACGCCAGGCTGTTGCAACACGAATAACAACAGCTAGATTCATCCGATAGCGTTATAGATGCTACTCACACAAATGCCAGCATTCAAATTGTTACAAATAGCATGTACGAATTTTAGCTATATTCTAGACGTCCCATCTGCAGATACCAGCTCACCCTGGATCATCGAGAAGCACGCCGACACACACGGTGGAGTCCACAGCATCAGAGGTGAACACGGGCAGACTGGGGTCATGTCCTCTTCACCGACAAGTCGAGGTTCCAGCTAGAGCCGCATGATGGCCGCATTCGAATGTGAAGACGTCACGGACACCGCTTTCAAGACGACTACATTGTGGAAACAGCCCTCTATGGGGGAGGTTCTGTGATGGTGTTGGGGTGTGATAAATCTTCATAATAGGACCCGTCTCTACCACGTCCAGGGCAATCTCAATGCTATTTGCTATCCTGATGAGATTGTGCAGCCTCTAGTGGGTCCGCAGCTTCAGCCCATTGGTGTTGGCGCGATTTTCCAGGACAACAACGCTAGGCCAGACAGTGCTCGTGTTATCAACGATTTCATTACTTGAAATTGAAGTGCAATTAACAGACTACCTTGGCTCTCAAAAAAGCCCTGATCTAAACCCTATTGAACACTTATGGGGCGAGCTAAGGCGCCGTGTTCAGGAAAATTGCACACCAACAGGAACTTGAGATCAGCTCCTTCGCAATCTTCAGTAAGAGTGGAATGTTACATGTATACCACAAGTGTTCCTGGCAAACTTGGTTAGGTCTATGAAAAATATGTGCAGGAGTGCTTGGCTTATTATGGAGGACATTCTCGTTACTGAGCTTTGTATTGACTTTGTCATTTTTTGTATTTAAAAAAAATTGGGTGGTACTCATTTCCACCGCACATATTGTTGTTTTGTTGGGGTTTTTTTGTTGGGGGGGGGGGGGGGGGGGGAGTTGATTTGCTAAAATGTTTGATGTTATCACATTTCTTCAGATAGTAAATGACTATCTGCAATTAAAAAAGAAGAAAAAAGAAGAAAAAAAAATAAAACAAACCCAATCTTGTCTTCTTATTTAAATTCATCCAAGTGTTCACCAACTTTTTGAAAAAAAAAAGAGTTTAAATATTCACTATCCAAACAACCACGAGTGACACATTATTATTTGAGATCCTCTGTCGAAATGACTATTTGTGTGCGAATAAAAAAAAGCAAGCAAGTTGGTAAAATTCAATTTTCAATAAGCCGACATTGTTTATAGTGACCTGCTTACCTTTCTCAGGTTTCGTTTTTAGTAGGATCCTCGTCTGTGCCATTTGGTCCGTGGTCCGAAAAGACGGGGAGGAGGGGGGGTGGTGTCATACTGTCAGTGTGACATTATGATTGTGGTTAACACTTCCAGCTCCTGCTCTGGTCGCCTCAAGCTCGATTCTCTTCATGAGAGCTTATTGTTTTGTTTTGTTTTGTTTTACTTACAAAAGCGTTACACCTTGTGCTGTATCTCATTTTCCCCTTCTGATCAAACTAGTGCCTTTTCTGTAATATTTTGTCTCTAGGCCTTCACACTTTGAAGACATGCTTTCGATTCCGGAGTGGTGAAGTTTTTTGTTTTTTTAAGTGTGTTTTTAAAATCAAGTATCGCCTGTCTGTTGGGATGCTGTGTCTCATTCAGCCCAGGTTGGCCCTCAGAATTACAAAGTTCTATCTGACATTTTAGGCCGTTTTGAGTTACTGAGGCCAGAAAGCAATTTAATGCTCTGTCTACTCTATTAAAATCTTAAGAGTATTCGGAGTCGTTATCAAGATATTCAAAGAATTGCATTCGAAAAAGCTTTGGCATATTGTGAAACTAAAAAATTTTAACGTCAAATTTGTCAAAACTATGGGTTGGGCAGATAGAACTTTATAATTCTTAAGTGACGTGGTAAGGTTGAAGCAGCCCTCTTCCTTTACATAGATGTAGCGTGGTGCATACTAAATTACGATTTCGGGGTAGTAATTTCACCATGAGTTTTTTTTCGATGTCCTGATTTTGAACTGAAATATGTATGTATATATACATACACACTGAATTCTCACAAAAGTGGAAGGACCATTGGTTG